ATTCCACCACAAGCAGGGGGGCTGTGAGAGGGCTAGTGGTTCTTTCTGGAGTAGCAAAGCTACAAGGGAGCACAGGGGTACCCCCAGAGTCTGGCAATAAACTGGAAGAGTGCCATTCTCCAAGAGTCATCTGTTGTAGCTCACAGCAATACAGGACAACACTAAATGGTGGATTCCCGACTCTGCCGGGTTCTTTGAGACACGAAGTCATTCCAGGGCATGTCGCCTCTTTGTATTCCACTGAGCTCCTAGGCCCTCAGGAAGCATTGCTCAGAAATCATCCAGCAACAAGGCTTGTGCCAGGGATGCTGTTTCCACCCACAAATAAATGCTGCCTTCAGCTCAGATTGCCCAGTACCTTCCAAAAGCTGAAGAGGAAACAAAGACACAAAGGCACAACCCCTGCCCTGTCTGCCATTGTGAGAAGCTAGGGTGGCCCCAGGAAAAGCAGTAAAAGAAGAACAGCAGAAAAGGACATACCACACATGGGAGAGAAACTCGAGGAGAAGCGAGCATGGAAGACAATTATGTCTCAAAAAAGGGTGAATTTAGAATGAGTAATACTCAATGAATTATCCAGCCTCAGGAAGAAAAATACTATATGCTGTCCCTCAAATATGGAACCTATCCAATAATATATGTGTGCATGTTAACCAATGTACAGGACACCATGTAGAACAGAACAAGAAAGGCTAAATATTATGGGATGAGGAAAGACTAAATGAGGAGGGCCATGAGTCAAGAAGGAGAATATTAAGCTAATTGTTTTTCTAGTTATAACTGTATCATGGATATTTTGATTTGGTGGTGGATATATACTTTCAATAGAGAAAATATAAAATCCAATTTGAAGTTACATAGCTCCCATCTCCAGTGGCTCCTTTAAATGTATAGAAGTTCACCAAGTTATAGAGTTTTTGGGGTCTGGTTAATTTGGGTGTGTAATATTATTTTAATTTTCTACTTTTTAAATAATGAAGTTTAAAATAAAAAACTGGACATGGTAGTGTATGTCATTAATCCCAGCCATCAGGAGGCATAGGCTGGTGGATCTCTTGAGTTTGAGTCCAGCATGGTCTACAGAGTGAGGTCCAGAGCAGCCAAAGGTATGTAGAGAGACCTTGTCTCTAAAATTAAATTAAATTTAAAATGAAAAGATTGAAGTGATCCCCAAAGTAAATGTTCTCATCATTATTATGTGTTTAGCCCACAGATTTCAACCTTGTCAACATATGTATAAACATATAGTTTTTCTTTCTTATAAAAGTGGAGATAATATATTCATTTATAACCTTTAAGAAAGACATGATAAGCTCTATTATAGAGCTGTAGTCCTGAAAACAGTTTGGTATTGGCACAAAAATAGACAGGTAGACCAACGGAATTGAATTGAACACCCTGATATTAGCCCATACATGTATGAAAATCTGATCTTCGACAAAGAAGCTAAAAATATACAATGGAAAAAATAAAGCATCTTTAACAAATGGCGCTGGCATAACTGGATGCTGGCATGTAGAAGAATGTGGATAGATCCATGTCTATGGCCATGCACAAAACTTAAGTCCAAATGGATCAAAGACCTCAACATAAATAAATCCAGCCACACTGAACCTCTTAGAAGAAATGAGTGGTACCCTTGAACGAATTGGTACAGGAGACAGCTTCCTGAACATAACACCAGCAGCACAGACAGTGAGGTCAGCAATTAATAAATGGGACCTCCTGAAACTGAGAAGCTTCTGTAAGGCAAAGGACACAGTCAGCAAGACAAAAAGACAGCCTATAGAATGGGAAAAGATATTCACTAACCCCACATCTGACAGAGGGCTGATCTCCAAAATTTACAAAGAACTCAAGAAGCAAGTCTCCAAAACACCAAAGGATCCAATTAAAAAGTGGGCTACAGAACTACATAGAGAATTCTCAATAGAGGAGTCTAAAATGGCTGAGAGATACTTGAGAAAGTGCTCAACATCCCTAGCCATCAGGGAAATGCAAATCAAAACAACTCTGAGATACCATCTTACTCCTGTCAGAATGGCTAAAATCAAAAACACCAACAACAATTTTTGCTGGAGAGGTTGTGGTGAAAGGGGAACACTCCTCCACTTCTGGTGGGAGTGCCAACTTGTACAGCCACTTTGGAAATCAGTATGGAGATTCCTCAGAAAAGGAATAAACCTACCACAAGACCCAGCAACTCCACTCTTAGGCATATATTCAAAAGATAACCATTCATATAACAAGGGTGTCTGTTCCACTATGTTCATAGCAGCATTATTTGTAATAGCCAGAACTTGGAAGCAACCTAGATGCCCCTTAACCGAAGAGTGGATAGAGAAAATGTGGTACATTTACACAATGGAGTACTATTCAGCAGATAAAAACAATGGAATCCTGAGATTTGCAGGCAAATGGATGACACTAGAAGAAACCATCCTGAGTGAGGTAACCCAGTCACAAGAAGAGAAACATGGCATGTACTCTCTCATATATGGATTTTAGACATAGATCTGGGGAGTGCCAGCCTACAATCCCATGGCCAGAGAGTCTGGGAAACAGAACCTTCATTCAATGGCTGATGGAAGCAGACTCCCACAGCTAAACACTGAGCTGAACTCAAGAAATCCAGTGACAGAGAGGGAGGACTGATGAGCAAAGGGGTTAAGACTGGGCTGGTTTAACCCCCAGAAACAGCTGACCTGACAAGGGTTAGCTCTTGAATGCCAGACTGATGCCTGTGAATCCAGCATGGGACTGATCAAGACCCCATGAATGTGAGTGTCAGTGAGGAGGCCTAGGTAATCTATTGAGCCTTGGGTAAGTAGATCAGTATTTATCACGGGTATACAAATGGACTTTGGGCTCCCATCCAACAATGGGAGATGCACTCTCACCCTGGACTCTTGGGGGAGGGTCTAGGCCCTGCCCTGGATGACAGGCTATGGACTTCCCCCATGGTATGAATGGTAGGCACTGAAAACTATCTGCTAATCTTGTAGGTGAAAAACTGCACTGAATTCTTGTTGGGGTCTCTGAGTTTACATTATCCTCAGGAGTAACATGATAAAATATCTTTATTGGTAATTGATTCTTAATGCAAAAGCAGCAGTTAGAACATTAAGTAGTAGTTTCCTACTTTAACTCAGTTGATTTGTATAAATCCTTCATATCCAAAGGCTGTTATGCTCTGCTCATTATACACGAAATGGATATTTTCCTAAGTTAGTGACTTACATCTCTATTTTATTTTTAGTAATAACTTTTAAGTTATATAATCAAGTGCATCAAGGTTTGATTTGTAGCTTGTCTCTTTGTCATGTCTCAGAGAGGGCATTCACATGTATTTTCTTCTATTTATTTTTTAACCTTCATATTACTGCACATGTAGAGACTATAATTAACTTGAATATAACGATTTCCTGAAACCACTTGCTATATGAAGTCACTGGCATCATACTTTACTTGCACTATAATGTTCGTTTGTGTTAAATTTGGAGATGGACCCTATGGGGAAATTTCCCAGCAGACCTTTTCCCCTCTACACGCTGAATATTCAGTATCACATGGAATGAAATCTTGTTGATGTCTGAGCTGACGTCATCACTTTTTCTCGTCAGGATGAGCATACACTAGATACTGTTTTTGTCATCTCGGTTGGATTTCAAATGCCATACACATCAGCAGAGTAACTTCCATCCAACTGAGCCTGGAGAAATGTCCATGAAATGCCCATCACCAGAGCCACACACTTTGTCACAGCCCTTGGCATTTGGTAGACACCCACTCAGGGGGGTTTGTGTGGCATACACTGACTAGAGCCCGGAAGATGAGCAAGGCATTAATTTTCAGAGTCATCAACCCAACAGCATCACATGAGAGAAGTGAAGACCTAAGAGATAAGAGAAGCAGACCAGTGGTCACCTTCCACTGAATGGGCCACACTGAGGATGATTAATAAGGTTGGCAAAAGAGGGAGATTCTTTTTATGTCACCGAACAAGATGGCACTGTATTCACTGAAGGACCAAGTGAATAACAAGTCCTAGTTTGGAGATCACAAATGTCAAGCAAGACAGTGTGCGCTGAACACACAAGAGGGTGAGGTGGCTGTCAACTGCCATCGGTGGAGCAGAGACTCAGAGCTCTCTCAAAGGGCTGGGGCTCAAAGCTGCAAGGACAGGGGGCTCAGGCGAGGCAAAGCACCTTTGCTTGAGGTCCTGCAAGGATATCAATTGCCCAGAGTTCAGTTAGAGCTTGCTTCAATTCTACCACACAGACCCTGGGGCAACTGATTATCCTCTCTGCAAATCTTAGTTGCATCATGTAAGAAATGAGATTGATGATACCTATCTCAGGGAATGAGAATGGCATGTAATTCATATACAAATGCAATAAAAGATTGTCCATAGATGAGGAGGAAGTGGGAATTAGCAAGCAGCTTTGGGCATGACCCATACTAATATAGATAAGAAAGGGTACTGAGACCACTGCTCAGTGCTTGCCACACATGCGTGGGGATCTGAGCTCAGATGTCAGTACCTGCATGGAAAAAAATTGGGCATGTAGTGGTTTTGCCTGTTAGGCCCAGCCCTGGGGTAGTGAGCAGACAGGTAGATCTCACAAGCTCCCTGGCCAGCCAGTATAGTTAAACCAGTGAGCTCCAGATACAGGGGGATACCTTGTTTAAAAACAACAGCAAGAACAGCAAACAAGGTGGAAACTAACAGAGGAAGGTACCTGATGTGACCTCTGACCTCACCATGTCTGTACATATATGTGTTCATGCAGAAACACATGTACATGGGCACCAATTAAATGAGTAAATTTATTTTTAAAAAGAAATAGAAGAAAGATTTAGAGATAATGAAAAGAAGGGAAGAAATCTTGGAAATACAATGTTATGAAAATCACAGGCTAAGTATTTCAAATGTAAAGTCACTCCATCAAATCTTGTCAGGGGATAAGAGAAATGCATGTTTGCATAGTGCTACATACCCATAGTTGGTCATCCATGCCTGGGGGGTTCTTCTTGATGAAAGCACCGTAGTATGTTGCAATGTTCCTGTGATGAGAATATTTCTTCAACATGTTAATTTCTTGTTTGATTTCTTCCTCTTCATCCTGTATTAGAACAATAAATAGTGGGTATGAAAATCAGGTTACTGGGAGAATTCCACTCAATACTATCGACAGCAATGATGTATTATCGGTCTTTTCTTTATCATTACGCTGTTAATGTTGCAACATAACACATTGATGACTCAAAACTGTCTTTTTTTGTATAGCTAACAGACAAACATGTCATTGGCTGGAGGGACAGAAGAAAGTCCATCGCTTCACCCGGAGGCTATCAGATAGACCTACAGACAGCTTCAGGGAAGCATTTCCTTCTGGTGCTCACTGATTACCACACCCACCTGGGGGAGGCTGAGGAAAAACGAAGAGAAAACACTGGTCTCAGATTTACATTTTTGTGAGGCTCAGGCTCTTTGAGGTGTCCTTTTATTGAAGTGCCTTGACTGAAGCCAATGAAAGTCAGACAGGAGAGAGGGCAAGGAGAGTTTCCGAGATCTGAAGAAGTTCACAAAGCGGGAGTCCTCGTCACCTCCAGGAAGCTCAACATCAAAGAAGGGGGAAGGCAGTGCAGACATAAAAGGACTCCAGAGAGGAAGTTTCCTGACGTCCAGGCTCATTCAGTTTCCACTTAGAGTCTACTGATTTGATCCTGGAGGCCACACGTGTTCACTCACAATCTGACCATGTGTGTGTGTACTCACAATCTGACCTTATATGTGTGCACTCACAATCTGACATTATGTGTGTGTGCACTCACAATCTGACTTTATATGTGTGCACTCACAATCTGACATTATGTGTGTTCACTCACAATCTGACCATGTGTGTGTTCACTCACAATCTGACCATGTGTGTGTGTTCACTCACAATCTGACATTATGTGTGTGTGCACTCACAATCTGACATTATCTGTGTACACTCACAATCTGACATTATGTGTGTGTGCACTCACAATCTGACATTATCTGTGTACACTCACAATCTGACATTGTGTGTGTGCACTCACAATCTGACATTATGTGTGTGTGCACTCACAATCTGACATTATGTGTGTGTGCACTCACAATCTGACATTATGTGTGTGTGCACTCACAATCTGACATTATGTGTGTGTGCTCTCCAGACAGACTGTCTGATGTAATGTGCACGTGCACGTCACAATCTGACATTGTGTGTGTGTGTGTGTGTGTATGTGTGCGCGCACACTTCAGTTTGACTGCAAAGCAGTGTTCCCTTCCTGAACTTGGTGGGATGTCTCTGCACCAGGGCAACTGAGACAGAGTGGTAAGCAAGGACTATGTTCAAAGGCAAGGTGTTACGTTATCTTGACTCAAGAAACCATGCCATGTTTCTCTGCACCTTTATCCTTCCATTTGTTAGCCTGCATGTGTAGCAATACAGGATCCTTCCAGAACTTCCTATGTGTGCTGTCTCCTTCCCTTTACATAACTTTTACATGTTAATACTGATGGTATTTTATTTCTACTCCCCAAGGATGGATGTCTTCCTTGATTCTCCAAGGCAATGTCAGAGCACCACCCCTAAGTCCTACCATGTCCCCATACGATTCCTCACACCGAAAGAGGGGTGTGTGTGTGTGTGTGTGTGTGAGAGAGAGAGAGAGAGAGAGAGAGAGAGAGAGAGAGAGAGAGAGAGAGAGAGAGAGACTGTGCTGTAACTGTACTGATACTTGGGTGTGTATTCCATAGACTTAACTCGTTTCTGCTTCAGACATCAAATCCAATGTCTCGTCCTAGAAGAGCCTCCTAATCTGCCTGTCTTGGTACTAGCCACCTAGATCATATGACCTTTCATAGCACCTAATCAGCTTGTCAACTCCTACCCATCCATCATCATCACAGACAGCTCGCCTGCATTTGTTCAGTGTTACATCCCCTGTACCAAGCAAAAAATTGTTTATGAGTGACTAAATGAGCAAATGCCTGCAAGTGGGCCAATGCTAAGCACAGCACTAGGAGTGTCCCAATGAATGGGTGACAGTGGAGGGAGCAGAGTGATGAAATGCTGCCATTACTCAACCATAAAACCAAAACCAAAGCCAAAACCACATTTACTGGGAGAAAGAAAACTAGAAATTTGAAAGCTTGCAACAAAAGCATGTGAGACGTCATGTAGCTTAACTAATAAAATGAGTAATCTCAAATTAGATCACAGAATTGGGTGCTGAGCTAAGGAGGTGCATGGCTCTAACAGTGAGAAGGGGGACCCAGGGAACGGAGCTGGGCTGGTGGCTGAGGCATGAGGTGGATGGTGCATTGCTGACCAAGGCATTCTTCCCTGAAGCTACTGCAAAGAGCCCGCTGCTTTAGTGCAGGCCTACAGAGAGAATGGCCTTTACAAACCCTCACGTTCTTGGGGGTCCTGGCATGCACCTCACTGTACCATGGTGGACATCAACTCTTTTAATTTTTTATGTAGGATGTGAGCCTCCTTTTACTTGGGGAGATGCTTTACAAGGAGGAACCATCCAGAGGGTACTGGTGGCTACTTCCACTAAGAAAGGAATTATGCAAACAATGAAAGCTATAGATCACTTTCCAGCTGCACCCGGCAGTCTCACTATAGGCAGCACTTGGAGCCAGGCGGGATCTACAAGTATTGCTGCCTGCCTCCTGGGACCTCCATAGGATCATGGGTGACAGATACGTCTGAAGAGGGCTTACCATGTCATTAAGAAAAGTTAAGCCACAGTGTCCTTCAGTACATAATCAAATCTCAAATAAATAGAACGGGAGGTGATAACAAGGTTTGCATCACTATATAAGGGTAAAATGAGCCAATTATGGCCATGAAGAAAGCATAAATATTGAGTTTATGGTGGGAACAACAAGATGGGTAGTTAGCACACATGTTAATTTTGGAATCTACCCTTTTTGAGCCACAAGACCTGAGAGAAGTGACTTACTGTTTCAGAACCTGGGTTTTTGCAACTACAAAAAATGCAGATATTACAAGTTGAGTTTTTGTGCTAACTAAATAAGGTACATGAAAGTTACATAGTGAGATACGAAATAAGCATGGTGGCTAGTTTTCTCAACAATGACAGCAAAATCAACAGATAAGAAGGTACTTGAATTTTAAGTTTAAGTGGCATTGTTTCCAAATACAATCATAGGCCTGGGGGTCATGGTTATGTTGTCCCAACACATAACCTTTATTTCAACCTTCTACAGCCTTGTATGTGATCATGCTATTTATCGTAGCTTCCAGGCTACAACTGACAAGGGCTCATACAACAATGCCGAAAGCACTTCATCCTCACAGCATGTCCCAGTGAGGTAAGGAGGCACAATATGTCCCAAAAGACAAAGAGAACAATTGAGGCAAAAACTAGATGCAAATGTTTGTTTTGTTGTTAGTTTTGTGTGTGTCAGTATGCACACTTGTGTGCATGTGTGTGGGGAGGTTGGAGGACACCCTTTGGTGTCATTCCATTGGCTCCACCCACCTTTTGTTTTTCCTGTGGGGTCTCTCACTGGCCTGGACTGTGGCAAACAGGCTAAGCTGCACAGTCAGCAAACCCTAAGGATACACCTACCTTTGCCCTCCAGCTTTGAGACTGCAGGCTACCACAATAACATGGGTACTGGGGATGAACATAGGTCCTCATGTTTGCAACGTAAGTGTTTTACTGACTGAACTATCCCCTCAGCCTTAAAATCAACAGTTTCAATTGGTGGGACACCTTCTATTTTGTAAATGAGCTACTCTTACATTTTAAACTATAAGCACAGGGGACAAACTCACCGACAAACTAACGGCCACTGGATCACACTGAAAATAAAATAATGGCACCAAACTGTCTCAGCTTTAAGAAAAGGGTAATATAATAAGCCGAGTCCATTACTTTACAAAGATCTATCACTTCAACCAGAAGACTTCAAAATCGAGTCTGACTCATTGTGCTAACTTCAGGCATGGCATTTAAACTCTCCCAGTGTCAGCTATTTTCAGCTTTGGATGTGAATAGCAAGCCTAGCTAAGCTGCTTCAGAAGTGATGAAGTGCCTGCTTGAAGATGGCTTTCCTATCAATGGACAAACCATGTGGCCCCATAGAATCAGAGGGAGCTATGCAGTGTGCAGCAATTACAGTAAACTGAAAAGAAATGAGCATGACATTTGGCTGCCCCTCCCCCCAGTCGAGAGGTCATTACTCTTCTCCCTGAAGCTGAACCTGGCAGGTAACGGGTATGGCCAATGGTATATTAACAAATGTGCTTTGGCAGAACCTTGAGGCTAGCCATCTTCAACAGCTTGCAGAGGGATATGGTACTAAGATGCAGCCAAAATCAGATTTATGTAATGTTCGCTGTGAGCCAGGAGCTATATGTGCACTATCTTAATATTCAAAGCATATCTACGCCATATTGTTATTTTCGTTATTGGTAGTTTTGATAGTGACGGCGGTAGTGGCAGTAGCAGTGATGATGGCAAGGATGTATGTGTGTGCTTATGCATGGGTGTGAGCATATTTGTGTCACCGTGCACATATAGAGGCTAGAGGAAAACTTTGTGGAGTGGTTCTCTCCTTCTTCCCTTGTATGGATTTCAGGGACTAAAGTTGGAGCCTTTACTCTCTGAGTCATCACACAGACCCTAATGCCATGTTCTTAATGACCCCAAGCAGCTCTGTGAAGGAGCTGTTTCTAAGGATTTGAGTTTACAAATGAGGTAAATAAGACGCAGAGGTTAAGTGACTGCCCCAGAGTACTCATTGTAAACATTAGGGCTCAGATTCATGTCTAGATTTGTCAGAAATCCAAAGCCAGTGATCTTAATTTTATATAGAAAACTTTCAGACTTGTGCAATTACCCATGCTGACTAAACCAAACCACTAAATAGAAAAAGCTTAGAAACATACTTCAGTTGGGTAGAGAACCTGACTATTTAGTTGGATCTCAGGGAATAATGGGAGATTTTAATATTGCATATTTATATTGCAAGGAAATGTTACTTAAGTATCTGTATATGGGGATTTTAAAATGGAGCCAATAAAATCTCCAATATTCTTGTTCTCTAAAA